TTACGAAAGCTTAAACTACTATTCTGTCAGATGCAGTGGCTCACGCCTGTAATCCTAGCACTCTGAGAGGCTGAAGTTTGTGGATTGCCTGAGCTCACAGGTTTGAGACCAGCCTGAGACAGAGTAAGACCTCATCTTTAAACACAGCCTGGGTGGGCATCTATAGTCCTAAGTGATTTGGGAGGCTGAGGAGAGAAAAATCACTTGAGCCCAAGAGTTTGAGGTTGCTGTAAACTATGATGCTACTGCACTCTACAGAGGGTGACAAAGTGAGACTCTGTCTCAAAAAAAAAAAAAAAAAAAAAAATCAGATATCCAGGCCAGGTGTGGTGAGTCAGGACTGTAATCCAACCATTCTGGAGGGCCAAGGCAGGTGGATTGCCTGAGCTCAGGAGTTTGAGACCAGCCTGAGCAAAAGCAAGACCCCTGTTTCCACTAAAAATAGAAAACTCAGCCAAGCACTGTGGCAGGATTGTCAGGTCCCACAGCCAGGACCCACAGGACCCTCCCCCATAGTCCAAGCTGTTCAGGAGGCTGAGGCAAAAGGATTACTTGAAACCAAGTGTTTGAGGTTGCTGTGATCTATGATGATATCATGGCATTCCACCCAGGGAAACAGAGTGAGACTCTGTCTCAAAAAAGGCTGGGCACCTGTAGGTCAGTGGTTAGGGCATTGGCCACATGTACTGGGCCTGGTGGGTTTGAACCCACTAAAATAAAATAAAAAAAACATAGCTGGGCATTATGGTCAGTGCCTATAGTCCCAGGTACTAGGGAAGCTGAGGCAAGAGAATCTCCTGAGCCCAAGAGTTTGAGGTTGTTGTGAGCTATGACACCTCAGTACTCTACTGAGAGTGACAAATTGAGACTCTCTCAAAAAAAACCAAACCAAAACAAAAAACCCCCAAATAATTAGAGTTAGTGATCTGTTAACTAAATTTATGATACCAGCATTTCATCTGTTAAAAAATCAGATGACCGGCTCAGCGCCTGTGGCTCAAGTGGCTAAGGCGCCAGCCACATACACCTAAGGTGGCGGGTTCGAATCCCTAGCCCGGGCCCACCAAACAACAATGATGGCTGCAACCAAAAAATGGCCGGGTGTTGTGGTGGGCGCCTGTAGTCCCAGCTACTTGGGAGGCTGAGGCAGGAGACTCGCTTGAGCTCAGGAGTTGGAGATTGCTATAAGCTGTGATGCCATGGCACTCTACCCAGGGGGATAGCTTGAGGCTGTCTCAAAAAAAAAAAATAAAAAAAAAATCAGATGACCAGCCAGCCTAAGGAAAAGCAAGACCCCATTTCTACTAAAAATAGAAAAGCTGAGGCAAAAGGATCTCTTGAGCCTAACAGTTGGAGGTTACTGTGAGCTATGATGCCACAGCTTGAGAATCTGTCTCAAAAAAAAAAAGGACCCTTACTCTGATCACTTCAGAGTATGTTGAACAAATAAAAGTGACACAAAAATCTTACATGCTTTTTACAAAGAAATTGTGATTAAATATTAATATCAGGATAAATAATAAGGGACAACTATGGTGCATTTTCAATATCTCATACCTTGGTCGAGTCAGAATGTTCAATTTTCTTTTAAGTTCTTGATGTTATTATTTGTTAAGAAACATTAGCCCTCATTAAACAGAATCACACAAATCATAAAATTCAACTACTACTATTCTTACTTTTGGTGTTAGCATGTTACAAATGTAAAAGACTCTTGAATGTTTTGAGGACGACACATTGAGCTACTGTTTTGTCACCAGGATAGGCACTTGGACCTAAAAATTACTATGGTTCTCAAGCCTGTAATCCTAGTACTCTGGAAGACTGAGGTGGGTGGATTGCTTGAGCTCAGGAGTTCCAGACCAGCCTGCACAAGAGTGAGACCCCATCTCTACTAAAAATAGTTTGTGGCAGGTACCTGTAGTCCCAGCTACTTGGGAGGCTGAGGCAAGAGAATCACTTAAGCCCAAGAGTTTGAGGTTGCTGTGAGCTGTGACGCCACAGCACTTTACCTCTTTTACCCAGTACCCTCTTTACCACTTTACCTCTTTGCAAAGTAAGAAAGGTTTTCATTCCTTTGAACATATATTTTAAGACACAATCCTGAAGTTCAAAAGAAACTACACTGAACCAAAAACATTATTCAAACAACAATACCCCTGTCAAAAGTTTCAACAGCCGGCTCGGGGCCTGTGGCTGAAGCAGCTAAGGCACCAGCCACATACACCTAAGGTGGCGGGTTCGAATCCCCAGCCCGGACCCGCCAAACAACAATGATGGCTGCAACCAAAAAATGGCCAGGCGTTGTGGCAGGCACCTGTAGTCCCAGCTACTTGGGAGGCTGAGGCAAGAGACTCGCTTGTGCCCAGGAGTTGGGAGGCTGCTGTGAGCGCGATGCCATGGCACTCTACCCAGGGGGATAGCCTGAGGTTCCGTCTCAAAAAAAAAAAAAAAAAAAAAAAGTTTCAACAGCCAATTAAGAAGATCTTCCATGCTGGGGTGGGTGTCTCATGCTTATAATCCTAGCACTCTGGGAGGCCAAGGTGAGCACATTGCTACGTTGCTTGAGCTCAGGAGTTTGAGACCAGCCTGAGCAAGAGACCCCATCTCTAAAAAAATATCTGGGCTTGGCAGTGGGCGTTTATAGTCCCAACTACTCAGGAAACTCTAGCTCAAAAAAAAAAAAAAAGAAAAAAGAAAATGCAGTATATGGGTGGCACCTGTGGCTCAAGGAGTAGCTTTGCCCCATATACCAGAGGTGGTGGGTTCAAATCTGGCTCTGGCCAAACTGCAATAAAAAAAAAAAATAGCCCATTGGTGGTGGGTGCCTGTAGGCCCAGCTACTTGGGAGGCTAAGGCAAGAGAATCGCTGAAGCCTAGGAGTTGGAGGTTGCTGTGAGCTATGACACCACTGCACTCTACAAAGGGCAACAAAATGAGACTTTATCTCAAAAAAAAAAAAAAATGAATCAAAGAATCTTAAGGCGGGACAAGAGGCTCACGCCTATAATCCTAGCACTTTGGGAGGCCGAGATGGGTGGATTACTTGAGCTCATGAGTTCCAGACCAGCCTGAGGAAGAGGGAGACCCCATCTCTACTAAAAATAGAAAAACTAAGACAATACAATCACTTGAGCCCAAGAGTTGGAGTTTGCTGTGAGCTATGATGCTGTAACACTTTACCCAGGGCAACAAGAGTGAGACTCTGTCTCAAGGGAAAAAAAAAAAAGGAGCTGCCACATACATCAGAGCTGGAGGGTTCGAATCTTGCTCAGGCCTGCCAAAGAATGACAACTACAACCAAAAAATAGCCAGGCACTATGGTAGGGGCCTGTAGTCCCAGCTACTTGGGAGGCTGAGGCAAGAGAATTGTTTAAGCCCAGGAGTTGGAGGTTGCTGTGAGCTATGATGCCACGGCAGTCTACCCAGGGCGGTAGCTTGAGGCTCTGTCTCAAAAAAAAAAATCTGAGAGGAGGCCAGGCACAGTGGCTCAAGCCTGTAATCCTAGCACTCTTGGAGAACAAGGAGGTGGACTGTCTGAGCCCAAGGATTTGAGACCAGCCTGAGCCAGAGGGAGACCCCATCTCTAAAAATAGCAAGGCAGTGTTGTTGCAGGGGGCCGGCAGTCCCAGCTACTCGGGAGGATGAGGCAAAAGAATCCCAAGAGCCCAAGGTTACTGTGAGCTATGATGCCATGGGAACTCTACCCAGGGTGACACAGTGAGACTTTGTCTCCAAAAAAACAGAATCTTAGAGGAAACCTATGAATGTTTATTTCACAATACTTTCAACTTTCTTCTATTTTGAAAATTTTCATTAACAAAATGTTGATGAAAAATCAACCTGTAAAAAAAAAATCAGACTTCAAAAACCTTAAAACCTTTTCAACCAAGCACTTTTAGAGCTCTTTACAGAGAAAAAGGAAAACTACCTAAGCCAAAATCAGCTGTACTTAGAGGATGCAAAAAAAATGTATACACATTTTGAGTGGCGCCTGTGGCTCAGTGAGTAGGGCGCCAGCCCCATATATCGAGGGTGGCGGGTTCAAAACTGACCCTGGCCAAATATACCTGGGCATCGTGTCAGGCACGTGTAGTCCGAGCTACTTTGGCGGCTGAGGAAAGAGAATTGCCTAAGTTCAGGAGCTGGAGGCTGCTGTGAGCTGTGATGCAACAGTACTCTACCAAGGGTGACCAAGTAAGACTCTGTCTCCAAAAAAAAATGCATACACGTTTTAAGAAAGGAAAAAACTGTATTAAAATTGTAATACTCAGGCCGGGCACAGTGGCTCACACCTTTAATCCTAGCACTCGGGAGGCCAGGGCAGGTGGATTGCCTCAGCTTACAGGTTGAAGACCCAGATTGAGCCAGAGCAAGACCTTGTCTCTAAAAATAGCTCAGCACTATGGCTGGCGCCTGTAGTCCAGCTACTTGGGAGGCTAAGGCAAGAGAATCGCTGGAGTTCAAGAGTTGGAGGTTGGCTTGGTGCCTGTGGCTCAAGTGGCTAAGGAACCAGCCACATACACCTAAGGTGGTGGGTTCGAATTCAGCCCGGCCCACCAAACAACAATCACGGCTGCAACCAAAAAATAGCCGGGTGTTGTGGCGGGTGCCTGTGGTCCCAGCTACTCGGGAAGCTGAGGCAGGAGACTTGTTGAGCTCAAGAGTTGGAAGTTGCTGTGAGCTGTGATGCCACAGCACTCTACCCCAGGGTGACAGCTTGAGGTTCTGTCTAAAAAAAAAAAACAGTTGGAGGTTGCTGTGAGCTATAAAGCCTGGAATACTCTACTGAAGGCAACAAAATGAGACTTTGTCTCAAAAATAAAAAAAGAAAATTGTAATACTCAATATACACCAATTACAACAGATGAATTTACAAAAGTCATGTCGAGCAACTCTTGTTATTGTAGATGTCAAACGTGACTTGCATGAAAAATATAATAGTTTTCTATTATAGTTTCTTTTCTTAAAATGTGTATACATTTTTTTTTGAGGCACCCTCTTTATAGTTTTAAAAACACTAGGAGTGTAAATAAACATACCAGCAAATCCATAAAAAATCTGTAATCATGTAACTCAAGCCAAACAGAAACTTATTTGGCGCGTTTTCCCCAAAGGGTTGCAATGTATCTTCACCACAGACGCTAGTCTAAAATTAATCCCCAAATTTAATCAAGCTGTTAATCACTTCTCTTTGCATGCCACGAGTCCTTTAGGCCCCCAACTCTGCATCCTAGGACAAGATCTTTCCCTGTCATAAAAAGTGACCCAAGGTCTATGTATCAGTATCTTCTAACCTACAACACGACAGCATTAACCTGCGTTTGGTTGCAAAATACGAAATCGGATCATGACCTCAAGAGAGGAAGATAAGTGGTTGCCTGTCTACACTCTAACAGTTGAGGAGTCTACAATAACCCGAAGAAACCGCACCCGGTTGGCGGGTAAGAGGAGCGGGTCTAGTCAGGAGACTAATTCCCGCAAGGGAAAACGTTTGCGCTGAGGCCCCAACACAGCTTGCGCAACCGGAGCCCTCCATTCTTAGCCCGCCAGTGGTACGCGAGAAATTACTTCGAATTCTTGCCCTCTTGGAATTTCCACCCGCGCCTTGGCGGGGCGCTGCCCCGACCCCACGCGGAGATGACAGGACCCGGAGGACAGGAAGGATATTCTCGGCGCGGAGCCGCTCGATGGTCTCCTCGCACTGCCGAAGGCGCTCCCGCAGCTCCGCGTCGCCGACCCCATTCTCGTCCTCTTCGTCACCGTCGTCGTCCTTGAACCGAGTGTGAATCGGCTTTAGAATCGACTCCTCCGGGTGGTCAAACGCCTCAAACAGCTCCAGGTCGCCAAAATCCACCTCCGCCGCCATTTTGGGCTGGGGAAAAGATTAGGGAAGAGGCGGAGCCGGCTACCGGGCAGGGGGCGAAGGTTGTGGGGTGGCACAGCTCTCGAGGGCTCGGGCCACGCTAATCCACCCTGGAGCGTTTTTTCTAGACGTAGGCCGCGGAAGCTGCACAGGAGGCGGGGCCGGTCCCGAGAGACTATAATTCCCAGAACGCACCGGCGTCTCGCAAACCCACTTCCGAGATTGCTCGGGAGAATGGCATGCTGGGACGGGTGGTTTCCAAGAGACTTTTAACGCATTGTTTGCATTGCACACTGGGATTGGTCCTTTTTGTAAACGTGAAGAAAGGCTATCTCAGAACGCGTTAAAACAATATGGATTGTCCCTGTTAGTCAAGTAAAACTGAAAAAAATCAGAGGATGACGCATGTCTCATCATAGATTCTGGTGTGCCTGCTTAATAACAAGAAAATAAGGAACTCGGGTAATGCCACAGATGATGTTTGTGATGTTAAACCAGCTGCTTTAAGTTTATCGGGTTTGGATCTCTTTTATGTAAATGAGTTAGATTCTGCTATTTTAGATTTGTCTGTTGAGGCTTTCTGTGTCTTCTCTCCTTTAATCACGCGTTCATTCAGTCACAGTTATTTATATTTTACCTGTGTGCCAGGCATTTGTCTAGGGTCTGAAGATGCAAGAGCAGTAAGCAACACAGAGAAATTCCTGCTCTCGTGAAACCTATAGTCCACAAGAAACAACAAAAAATCCCGCATTATAAATGTTTCTGCTTTTGGATCCAACTGGGTATTAATGGGCATTCACAGAGAAATGTGGAAAACATAGGAAGCAATGAATGTGTAATAAAGATGAACTGAAATATGATTAGGTAGGCAAAGTTACTTGTGAAAATGTGACAGATGAAGTAAAGAGCATTCTAATCTGGAGAAAATACATGCTGAATGAAAGGCAGAGTGGAGCAAGATGAGGCTAGAACATTAGGCTAGTACTCACAGAACCTGAAGGGATTTTCTCCATCCCACAACATTCAGAAGTGATTTAAACATTTTGAACAGGTGGTGTGTTTGTGACTAGCAAATTTTCATTATGATAAAATGGTCCTGATTGCAGGGTAGAGGAAAAAAAGGAGGTAGAGCAAGAGTAAAATTCTTTGAATCTAGTAGATAGATTTTTTTTGTAGTGCTGTAGTTAAATGGACAAATTGGTAACTAGCTTGTGAGTTTCAGCCATTCACAGCCAGCCAATTCCAAATAACTCAGACACCGAGTCATAGCCAATCAGGTGATTTCTTTTCTTTCTTATTATTTTTTTTTTCTTCTGTGTTTATAAAAGTTCACTGCAAATGCTGATGGATGGGGCTCTCTGAACCTTTTCTTTTTCTTGTTTTTTTTTTTTTTTTAAGAGACAAGAGTCTCATTTGTCGCCCTTGGTAGAGTGCTGTGGTGTCACAGCTCACAGCAACCTCCAACTCCTGGTCTTAGGCGATTCTCTTGCCTCAGCCTCCCGAGTAGCTAGGACTACAGGTACCTGCACAATGCCTGGCTATTTTTTTGGTTGCAGTTTGGCCGGGGCTGGGTTTGAACCTGCCACCCTTGGTGTATGGGGCCGGTTCCCTACCCACTGAGCCGCCAGGTGCTGCCTCTCTGAACCTTTTCTGGTTCTGAGTAAACATTTTTTGCTCAAATAAACTCTAAATTAAAAAAATAAAAAAGAAATGCTATTAATAGCTTGGATTAGGATAGTGGCAATAGTAGTAGAATTAAATATTTAGGAACAGACCATATTTAAAAGATACTAGGTCATTAAATATAAAAAAGATTATAAAATTAAAGCAATGTATTTCATTAAGTAAATGAGAGGAAGGGGGTATGTTTACTAGGATTCTGGCTTAAGAATTCTAATAAATGAATAAATGGTCATTTGAGATAGAGAACATTGGATGAGGACCCAGTTTGGGAGCAAAGAGGAAGTTCCATTTTGGTTGTGTGGTACTTTATGGCACTTTTATCCTTATGGGCAATAAAGCAGTAACTAGACTGGTGGAAGATGTTTTTGAAGCATTTTGGTTAGAATCACTGCTATATTGAAGAAAATATTTTAGGCCCCAGTGGAAGTGTTTGTTAGGCAACTGTATATTTGGGTCAATCTCAGAAAAAAGGTTATGAACTTAAAGTCAACATTTGGTGACCCAAGTTTTTATGGAAAGTAATCAAAACTGTGATAAGAGATTACATGATGAAGAATACAGGATGTGAAGAAAGGCTAGGACTATGTCTTGAGAAACTGAAAGGGCTCAGTTGAGAAGAATGAGAAAACTAGAATGGGAGAACTGGGATAATTGAAGTTGTAATTCTTGGCTTGGTTTATGTAGCTCAGGGCCACATACACCGGGGGCTGGCAGGATCTAGGCCTGCTAAAAACAACAATGACAACTACAACAACAACAAAAAATAGCCAGGCATTGTGGTGGGCGCCTGTAGTTTCAGCTATTTGGAAGGATGAGGCAAGAGAATTGCTTAAGCCCAAGAGTTTGAGGTTGCTGTGACCTATGATGCCACAGCACTCTACCAAAGGTGACAAAGTGAGAATTTGTCTTGAAAAATATATATATATTTAAAACGTAATTTCTGGCTGGGTGCCTGTAGCTCAAGCAGCTAAGGTGCCAGCCACGTACACCAGAGCTGGTGGGTTGGAATCTGGCCAGGGCCTGCCAAACAATGACAACTACAACCAAAAAATAGGCAGGCATTGTGGCAGGCGCCTGTGGTCCCAGCTATTTGGGAGGCTGAGGCAGGAGAATTGCTTAAGTCTAGGAGTTGGAGGTTGCTGTGAGCTGTCACGCAACAGCACTCTACCCAGGGCAACAGCTCAAGGCTCTGTCTCAAAAAACAAAAAACCCGAAATAGAAAACTTTATTTCTGCTACCATTTACTTCTACCAATTGGCTTCTTAAATAGTATCTAAGTTTCCTAAGCTAACTGCAATCCAAATCCACCATTACCCCATCTAGAAACCTATTGAATGTCATCACTTAATTTGCCCTTTCAGCACCTACACACAACTACAAAGTCCTATTCTACCTCAAATTGCCCTCAAAGCCAACAATTCTCCCACTGCTGAGTTTATATATAATCTTACCTTAAATAATAGTATGAATTTCTAGTCTCATTTTCCAGCCTTGCAGGAAAGTCTATTATTTATTTTTTTATTGAGATAAAAGGGCTGGAGTACAGTGGGGGATCCCAGTTCACTATATCCTCAAACTCCTGGGCTCAAGCAATCCTGCCTCACCTTCCTGAGAAGCTGAGACTTTAAGAATGTACCACCATGCCTGGTTTTTTATTTATTTTTATTTTTTGAGGCACAGTCTCTGTTGCCCTTGGTAGAGTGCGTGGTATCACAGCTTAGAGTAACCTCACACTCTTGGGCTGAAGGGATTCTTTTGCCTCAGCCTTCCCAGTAGCTGGGACTACAGACGCCTGCCACAACACACACAGACACAGACACACAGACACAGACACACAGACACACAGACACACACACATTTTTTTTTTGGCCAGGGCTGGGTTGGAACCCGCAATTTCCAGCATATGGGCCCAGCACCCTACCCTTTTGAACCACAGGCACTGCCCAACACATGACTATTTTTAGAGACAGGGACAGGGTCTCACTCTGTCTCAGGCTGGTCTTGAACCTTTAAGCTCAGGCAATCCACCCCCTTGGCCTCCCAGGGTGCTAGGATAATGCCTGGCTTTTTAATTTTTCTGCTATGTTTGGGCTCCCAAAGGGCTGAAATACCTCCCCGACAGCAACTTATGCCCCTGTCTCTCACAAAATTGAATACCTCAAACATCCATCATGAAGCACAAGGCTTTGAAACTTAAAGCACAATAACCTCAGAGAAGGGCGGCGCCTGTGGCTCAGTGAGTAGGGTGCTGGCCGCATATACTGAGGATGGCGGGTGGGTTCGAACCTGGCTCTTGCCAAACTGCAACAAAAAAATAGCCGGGCGTTGTGGCAGGCGCCTGTAATCCCAGCTACTTGGGAGGCTGAGGCAAAAAGAATTGCCTAAGCCCAGGAGCTGCAGGTTGGTGAGCTGTGACACCACTACACTCTACAGAGGGTGACAAAGTGAGATTTTGTTTCCAAAAAGGAAAAAGTACGTTAAGAATGCAAAATGTCTAACCAGTTGGATGAAAGTATTTCAGGTTGTATATAGAAACAGCACTCTGTACCCCATGATAGTATTAATGTACACAGCTATGACTTAGTAAGAAAAAAAACTGATCCAAAAAGTAAAATAAAAAAAAGATTGCAAAATGTCTGGCTATGAGTGGTGGCTCATACCAGTAATCCTAGCCCTCTGGGAGGCAAGGTTCCAAGCTCATGAGTTTGAGACTAGCCTGAGCAAGTGAGACCCCTCCACCAAAAAAATAGAAAAACTGAGCCAAGAGGATCGCTTGAGTGCAAGAGTTGGAGGCTGTCGTGAGCTATGACCCATGGCACTCTACCCACTATGACAGTGTAAGACTGTCTCAAAAATATTATCTATTCAAATTGTTGTTAACGTTTGCACAAATAAAATTACACTTGACTTTTAAACACGGTGTGTGTGTGTGGGGGAGCTTGGTGCTGACTCCTATACAAAATTCCACTTGTAACTTTTGACTCCCCAAATACTTTACTAATAGCTTACTGTTGACTGGAAGCCGTACCACTAACATGGTTAACACGTTTTGTATGTTGTAATATAGATCATATTCTTAGAATAACCTAAGCTAGAGTATCAAAATCTAATTAAGAGAAAATATAGTTAATATTCATGAAGTGTAAGTGGAAGTCTTCATCCTCTAGTTAATTTTCACAGAATGAGGAAGAGGAGGGGTTGATCTTGCTCTCAGGTGACACAAGACCATGAAGTGGAAGGGGAGGCTAAGGTGTTAACTTTTATTTAAAAAATTCCACAGGTAATGGGCGCAAGCCCCATATACTGAGGGTGGTGGGTTCAAACCTGGCTCAAGACAAACTGCAGCAAAAAACAGCCAGGCATTTGGCAAGGCACCTATAGTCCCAGCTATTACTTGGGAGGTTGAGGCAAGAGAATAGCCTAAGCCCAGGAGTTGGAAATGGTGGGTCAACTATCATTTCACTTTTTAACTATTCATATTCAGCTACTAAAACTTTTTAAAATCACTGATAAATACATTTTATTTTAGTGGTCACTGCTGCTTTATATGAAAAATGGACAGACCATACCATTATGCATGGCTAACTCCTAAAACACTGTAGAAGTTTTTGTATCTACATTGCCTTATGTAAGGCCACAAATATATACATATTTTGGCTGGGGCTGGGTTCAAACCCACCATCTCCAGCATATGGGAACGGCGCCCTACCATTTTGAGCCACAGGCGCCACCCAAAGGCCACAAATATTTTTAATGGAATTTGGAAGGCAGAGCTTAACTGAGACCACAAATTAAAAGACCCATGTGTCATTTCCTCATATCTTTTTTTTTCATCATTGTTGTTTCATTTTATGTTTTTTTTTTCATTTCTTCATATCTTGGCTTTGCCACTTAAACACAGTGAAAAATCATTTCTCTATAGAATTACCGTGCTGGGCTCTGCTTGTAGCTCAGCAGCTAGGGCCCCAGCCACATACACCGGAGCAGGCAGGTTCGAACCCAGCCTGGGCCTGCCAAACAACTGCAACCAAAAAATAGCCAGGCATTGTGGTGGGCACCTGCTACCTGGGAGGCTGAGGCAAGACTGCCATGGCACTCTACGGAGGGCCAACATAGTGAGACTTGAAAAAAAAAAATTACTGTGCTCGAGGAAGATGTAAAGGTTCACCAAAATACAATCTTATAATCCAATCACATGATCTTCACAAATGACAAAAGCATACCTGTATACTCATATTTAAAGGGTATAATCTTATTTCTATAAACTCTATTCTCTTGTACTGTGTTTCCACACTGTTTCCCAAAGTGCTTTTCTAAGCAGTTAAACATTATCAAAGCAACTTATCTATAAATTTTGTAGTTTCATCCCAGATCATGCCCTATTCAGTTTCATGGCAAAGCAGTTTTCTAATGTTTTAGTATTTTAGTAGTTTACGCTGGAGAAGATTTCAGAGGGATAATGAGCAAAGGGCATACAAAGAACTTGTTATAAGGCACTTTATTAAAATAAAAGTGCTTACATCCCTTTAATGTGTTTATCAATTTCCTGAATAACATAAGGAATATTTAACAAATACTGTACACCAATTCTGTCCCTTGTAATAGTAGGAAAACAGTATTATTTTAGTAAGTTTGTCTGATCCTCCCACCTTCCTTTTACATTTTTGCTCACCATGGTACTGCCTACAGCATAGTTAACTGGTCCTAAAAAAGAAGGGTGGGGAAATTTTTAGCCAGTGTTTTCTGATACCAACTGTAAAATGCTGCAGAAACCAAAAAAAAAAAAAAAAAAAAATTCAAACAAGAATTCCAGGTAACTTAAATTAACACCAGTTTTGAGAAAACCATTTTTATTATCATCACCACCCAGCTTATTTGTGCTGGATTATGTACCAAATGGCCAGATCTTCTAAAGAACATCTACATAACATTTCTTTCATGTTTCAAGAGATGAAAATAACTGTACAAGGTTAAGTACAAAAGTACACAAGACAGTGGACACGAAAAAATTCATGTATGAGATTTTATCCCACCTGCAGCTGTTAGATATTTGAAAAGTAGAATTTATGAACTAAAAAATATTGTCCTTCTATAGTCCTGTCAAGTTTAATGGAAGTGGGTTTAACCTGATTACAACACTAACACCAGTATCACTGATCTGATATTTACAAAAAAATCGTATTTTTCAATAAATTAAAGTCAATGCAACACCCATGCAAGCTAGAATGCTAGCTGTTTGGTGAACAAGGACTTGACATCAGAACAAGGAGTCTATAATCCCAAACTTTACATGTGTCATCTTTTTTGTTCAAACTGTATCCATTCCTCGCATTGATGATGTGAAACCCAAACCCATTCCTCTTTGTGTGTGGGTTTGTGATCTTGCCATTTCATACTGAGCATCTAGATTTCTAAATACTTCTTCCTGTTGTTTCAAAGTCTTGTAACTGTCTTCATCGACTGAGCTACATCCAGCTTCATCTTCACTCTAAATATCAAACAAAAAATACGGTACCATTAAATCCTATTTTCAAGATATAAATTTGACCCAAATTACCTTCTATTCATTCATTAAACACCTCCAGAGGGCAAGGCAGTCTTTTCTAGTGGAATACAGTAGGATGCAACATAAAAGTAACTTTAGCTTAGAGCAGTAGTTCTCTACCTGTGGGTAGCAACCCCTTTTTAACAATGTAAATACATTGTGGCATTAGGAAGGTTGAGAACCACTGTTTTAGAGGGATTGCAAAAACCACATAATATGTGGAACTTGACTGGGGTTGGGGGGCTCATGCCAGCACTTTGGAAAGCAAAGATAGTGGAGAACAACTCTGAAGATGGCATCTGAGTAGGGGCTAATAGCAAATGCAAAGTTCCTCTGGTATGCTCCAGAAATAGCCAGCTTAGTGGAGTTTAGTTTAAGCCAAATACTTATTTCCTCAACAAAAATTCAATTGCCTAAGTAATAACCAACTCTATTTTATTTATACATTTATTTGTCATATTTAAATTTAATCCTGCATCTATATAAAGTTTGATAAAAACATAATCTTCTACAACCAAACCCCCCCCCCAAAAAAAACTTTTTAAAGAAAGGCATGTACAATTAATCCTAAGAAAGAAGTATTTTTTTCCTGCAAATTCATTAATTCCTTTTTAAAATTCCACCCCCCCCCTTTCTGGGAGTTTTTTTTTTTT